GATCTACCTCCTACGAGCTACTACTTCCCACTTATGGGTGAGTCGACTGCCGTGAACATAGCATACGTCTTGACTTACCATGACTGGAACTGCAGCGAAGACAGCTGGGATAACTAGCGAGCGCACGCAGCTACTCCTCAACGCCCTGCAGACGCCGATCATGATGGCTGCGGCGCTCACTGGACTTCGGTGGCAGGATCGCATCGGCCGGCGAAAGCTGCTGATCGCCTCGAGTATGGGGATGTCCATCTCTGTCGCCATGATCACGGCTTGTACAGCGCAACAAGAGGGTAGGCCGGTGGTCGGCGGAGTCGGGATCGCGTTCGTCTACGTCTTCCTTGTCGTGTTCGCCTTCGCCTGGACGCCCGCGCAGTCGCTGTACCCCACGGAGGTTCTAGCCTACAACACCCGTGCGAAAGGCCTGGCGTTCATGAACTTGCTCGTAAACATAGCGAACGTCTTCAACACATACGTCCCGCCGGTCGCGATCACGCGCGCGAGCTGGAGGTTTTACATCTTCTATATCTTGTGGGATGCTCTTGGGGCGCTTGTGATATACCTGACGTTCGTGGAGACGAAGGGCAGAAACCTGGAAGAGATCGATCACATCTTCGAAGCGGAGAGCCCGAAGAAGGCCAGTTTACAGGCACAGGCGGGCCGGGCGTTGGATGGAGTAGATGGGTTCCGTCAACATGGAAAGGTGTAGGGCGATCACGGTGACCCGAATGATAGCGGCTATGTGTTACATACGTTGGTGTTCTGACGCGTCAACTCGTTAGCATTCGCATATTGTCCCAACATTGAGATCGTATTGGAGGATGTATGCCACAGAGAGATGCTTGATTGATACTAAAAACACAGTACTCATCGTAACGAGATGTACACAGCTGATTCAGATCCTTGCGATTGCAACGTCCATTTGATTGATCAGAAAGTGCTGCCCTCCGGTGGCTGGGGAAGCTTCCGGTTGTTGAACGATGCCATCTCCCTGAGTGAAGCGCGTCCATGAGTCATCCGAGGGGTACAACAAAGGACTGGCGGTGCTCACCTCCGGATCTCTACTAAAACAGTCTCGATGCTGTTGTTCCTGTTCCAATGCGCGAGCACGGGGAGCTTGTGAGGATCGACCTTGCCGTCTACTTGGCTAACAAATGGGAGGTTGACGCGGGAGATAAACTGGACAGTGGGAGGTTGGTCGGGGTAGTTCTCGCCGCAAGTGATCTTGAGGCTGTAGATGCGGTTCTCGTGCACGGTCTGACGGGCACAGGCGTTAGCTCCCCGGTGCATGGCGATACCTCCGATCGCGGCAAGAGTACAGCAAGTGTGCTACTTACATGGCCAGGGCCGATAATCGTGCCGTTCCAGTGGCTCATCATGATATCGTCCGAGTCCTCGAGACCGTAGGAGCATGAGCCATCGCCGATGCCCTTCTCGCCCTTCTCGAGCTCCTCGAGCAGGCGGAAGTTGCGGGGAACTGTGTGGGCTGCCTTCAGTACTAATTCTGCGCGTTGTACGGTGGCCTACATACCCTTGGCCATGGTGGGTGTCGTGAAGAAAGCGGGAGGTGGGAGGAGAACGGTGCAGGACCCAAGGAAGCCTTGCAGCGGGCGCAGTGGCGTCGCATCCGAATCGGGCAGCTCGGCGTTGTCCGGGCCGTCACCGCCTCGCTCTAATGGCGTCGCGTCCACAGGCGCCCGGCCTCCAATCGCTGCCCCCGCCCGCCCGCAGTCGCCTACGCAGCTTCCGCCATCGTCTTCTCCTCTTGCCCTCACCACGATAACAGCGCTACCGTCTGAACATTATGTTTCGAGGCGGACAATCGAACGCATACGACGAGATCGTCGGTAAGTGCCCGCTAGCCGAGGATGGCCGCCCTGACACTCATCACTGACGTACTGCCTGGTTATTCAGCGAAGACTACAGATGAGAACCTGACGGGCGAGAACTGGGAGCTCATCCTGAACTTGTGCGACAAAGTACAGGAGGAGGGCGAACAAGGGTGAGTGGCAGTCGCGTTACTGCAGTCTCAGCAAGGACCAACGCTTTCCCCTCTCAGTGCCCACAATGTGATCGCAGCATCGCTGAAGCGGCTAGCACACCGCAACCCCAACGTTCAGTTGTATACCCTTGCGCTGGTAGAAGCTCTGTCCAAGAACTGCGGCATTGAAGTGCACCGAGAGATTGCTTCGAGGGCCTTCACGCAAGCCTTGGAGAAGCTCGTCACTGATAGGGTACGGGAACCACATATCCTTGTCAAGTGCCCGCCCGATGACGTCGCTGTTTTCATTAGACTACACACGATAAAGTTAGAAAGCGTGTGTTGAGTATGGTAGCGGTCTGGACTGCAGAGTTCGAGAAGGACCCTACCTTGGGTCTCATGGAGGAGTGTTACGAGAACCTGAAATCGAAAGGTATGTAGAACCGTTGCTAACGATAGCTTACTGCTCACATCGTCACAGGGTACAAGTTCGAGACACCGAATGAGCCCCCTCCGCCGGATGTTGATGATGAAGCTCGCCGCCGCGAAGAGGAAGAATTGCAACGTGCTCTGGAAATCTCGATGCAAGACAAAGGCGGCAGATCTCAATGGGAGGCATATTCGCTCGCATCCTCAAGCGGTGCTAGTGGCTCCGGTGCTGGAAGCTCAAGGCAAGGCATCTCTGCCGCTCCTGGACCCTCCGGCTCCTCGTCTCGTCCTGGACCGAGCTCTAGCCAAACTCCCACATACGGTGGTTATGTTCCTTCATCAGCTACTCCAGCGGTCTCTGCAGTCGCACAACCGTCACCTACACCTTCCCCCGTGGTCACCGCCCCAGCCGCCAGTAGCTCTCCAGTGTCTGTTCACTCTACACAGGACTCTATCCCCATCGTTACCCGGGTCCGAGCGCTCCATACCTTCGAGCCTTCCGAGCCAGGGGAACTGGCCTTCGAGAAGGGCGATATCATCAAAGTTGTTGATCGCAACTATAAAGATTGGTGGCGGGGTCAGTTGAAAGGCCGCACGGGCATCTTCCCGGTCAACTATGTGGTAAGTCAACAACTGCTGTCGATAGGGCACTTTGTTGAGTGTCGTTCGTCCAGGAACCTCTTCCCGAACCCACAGCCGCAGAAATTGCCCGAGAGGCTGAACAGGAAGCAGCCGTCTTCGCACAGGCTGCCAATGTCGATAGGTTGTTGACTATGCTCCGCAACATGGACCCTGCTCGAGACAACCTGGCGGATAACGAGGAGATCCAAGTCAGTGCTTGTGCTTTTTCGTTATTCAGTATCAAGCTCATCCGGTACATCTAGGAACTGTACCGTTCTTGCATGTCGCTGCGCCCGAAGATCGTCAAGCTGATCGACAAGTACAGCCAGAAGAGAGGTTTGTTCAGCATTGTCTCTGGAGGCTAGCATTCCCGCTCACCGTGGTTCGTAGCGGACCTTGTGTCGATGAATGAGACGTTTGTGAAGGCTAGGACCATCTTCGACAGAATGATGGAGGATAGTCTCGCGCGCCACACCGGAGGTACGTCATCGCGTACGCTGGGGAAGTTGTTGCGAGTCATTAAAAGCGTTTTTGATCGTAGTATACGACGGCCGTCCGCCCTATGTCCAAGCTCCGAGTCAACCCTACATCGCGCGCCCGGATTCTCGAGCACGCCAAGAGTACTACCCTCCTGGTGGTCCGCCGGCGGCACCCGGTGCACCACAGGCTTACGGATGGAACCCCAGTCTATACGACCAGCCCGGGTATCACGCTTATCCGGCTGCTCCTGCCGCGTACCCTCCGGAGAGCCCCTACCCGCCTCCCGTGCAAGCTCAGCCTCCAGTGCAGCCTCCTCAGCCTTACGGTGACCCCAACGCATATGCTGCTCGGCCTCAGTCCGTTTTCGGTCAGCCTCCGGCGCAGGCGTACCCGGGCGTGTCGCCATATGCTCCCCCAGAGGGCCCGCCCCAGGGCTACCCAACCTCCCCCGTTGTACCGCCTCAGGCTCCCGCGCAACACCCGCCCCAGCCTCAGCAATCACTGCCGCCCCAGCAGCCACTCCAGCCGCAACAACCGTTCCAGGGTCAGCCCGCACAGCAATCCCTCCAGCCCCATCCCCAAGCGGCAGCCCAGCCAGAGCCTCAGCCGCAGGTGCAACCGCAGGGTCAGCCCCCAGTCCAAACAGAGCCTCAAATCCAGCCGAGTCAGCCCCAAGGGCAAGGTCAACCTCAGCCCCAGGCCCAACCCCAAGGTCAGCCGCAGGTTCAGCCTCAACAGACTTCTGCTCCGGCACCTCAGCAAAGCGGGCCCCCGTACGTCTACGATCCCAACGCGACGTATCCGGACCCGAACGCGCAGGCATGGGCTCAATACTACGCGCACGGCGGAACCGACCCCACAGGCGCGGTGTACTTTATCTCCGTTCCCGGTGTCAAGGAGGGTCCCGCCGCGCCGACAAGCCCCCAGCGTGCGCAGTCGGGTGACTCAGTCAACCCGAACCACGGCGGTGCTTCCGAGCAACCTGTACAGGTCGCCCCGCTAAGCATCCACAAGCAGCCCGGCGTTGACGGGCAAAACGCTCAGCATCAACAGCAGCAGCAGCAGCCTCAGGTCGCCATCGGTCAGCCGGGCGGGTACGGTGCGTCACCGTACGCTCCTGCGGGACCAGCCTCTCCCGTCACAGGCGCCGGTCAGCCCGCTGTCGGCCAGCAGTTCTACGGGCTGACAAACCAGTTCGCGGGGATGGATATCAATGCGAACGGAGAGCAACATGCGCAGGGTGGGCCGCAGGGTGTGGGTGCGCCTGCGTGATGGACGCATGGACGTTGGACAGTTGTAGCGGAGGATGGCATCGGCTATGGCGCATGGACTGGAATACTTACGTGTACGGCTTCGGATTAGCGAACGTATCTATTCTTTCGGGACCTTGGACCAGACAGATTCTTGGACGTGAATGTTCGTGGCTGAAACCGCCGCAAAAAAAGTCAACTGAGTTTTGAGGACTGTAGGGACGGTTGGTGGCAAAAAGAGCTGCCCGGAGTGAGGATCGAACTCACGACCTCAGGATTACCCGTCCATTGACGGTCATATCGACATATGAGACCTGCGCTCTAACCAACTGAGCCATCCAGGCTTATTCTGAACGAGTATACAGAACAATATTAATCAAAACAGCAGTTTACCACTGATGGCGTCACGACCTGGCGGTGTCTCATATAGGCATTGTTCGGGAGGAAGGACATCCTACCGCCGCTCATCCGCCCCTCCGTCCTTTTCTCGCTGCCGTTGGCCTTCTCCCTGGAGCCGCCTTTGTGACGATCATATGCGCTTTGCTTAATATTTTTGGACGTGTGCATCCCGACGCCACTTAGTCGACTGCGAACACACCGGGGGCCTCGTGTCGACCAGCGTACCTGTGAAGTCATACCCCCACCCCCTCGAGCAGCACCGACAAGACGCAACCCCTACTTCGCCAACACTTCTATCGCATATCTGAACGTCTCTAACTCTCATTGTCATGACCATGGCACCACAAGTTGACCTCGTCCTAATATTTCGCTCGTCCCCGGGGAAGGTGCTCTCCAAGCCACAGGCGCGCGAGAACGCGAGGCAGGCCGCCCAACAATACACACGACTCCTCGAGGTCTTGAAGAACGGCCGACTTCACGCTGTCGGGAAGCGCGGCGAGAAGGAGGGCCAGCTGCTTGTGCTCGTCCAATGTCCCCAGAGCACGCTCACTCGTCTTGTGCAGCGCGAACGGTACGTCATACGATCCCGCCGTGCGCCCTCGTCACTGCCCGCCCTTACCGCCCGCTGGTTCGCGCGCCTAGGTACTCTGACTTCTTGTGTGGCTTGCCTACTACGAACCCTACGGGCACCAGGGACCTCACTGCAGAACCACTCAGCCCCGCAGATAGACTGCGGCTCGTACACACCTATGTCACCTCCACCCCTGGCGATGGCGGCCTTGGCGTGGCCCCCGGCTCTTCGACCTGGGACCGCGTCGAGTCCGTCCTGCTGCTGCACGACCACTCGTTCAACGAGGCATGGATCAGGGCGTGGACGACGCGCCAGCTCGGGTTCGTCAAGTTCGATAAGATACGCGAACAGGTGCGGCGCAGTGCGGCGGTGCTTCCCGCGTCCGCGTTCTGATGATGTGCTAACTTTGTGCAGTTCGGCGAGGCCGTCGCGCTCTACTTCCACTTCCTGTCCTTCTACACCAAGCACCTCGTCTTCATCTCCGCCGTCGGCGTGTTCTTCTACTTCTTCTCGCTGCCATATTCAACCTGGTACTCCTCCATCCTCCTCCTCTGGTCGGTCACGTTCGTCGAATGGTGGCGGATCAAGCAGCGGATCCTCTCGGTTCGATGGGGCACGAAGGGCTCGTTCCGCGTCGAGAAGCGGCGGGCGCAGTATGTCCCGCTGTCGTGGTGGAGGAAGGACCTCAGGATGCTCGCGAGCCTGCCCGTGATCCTGCTTTTTGCATCCGTACTCGCCGTCATTCTCACCGGGATCTTCATCTTCGAAGCCTTCGTCACGCAACTATACACGGGACCAGGCCACAGGTTCATCGTAAGTCGAACAAGCTCGGGGGTCGCGCCTTGTGTCATTGACGTGTTACGCATCAGGGGTTTAGCCCGACCATCCTCTTCGTCGCGCTTGTGCCCAGACTACTTGCCGTTTACCACTCTTATGCCGTCCGCCTCACGAACTGGGAAAACCATGGACACCAGTCGACGCACGACGCGTCACTGACGGTGAAGACGTTCAGCCTGTCGGCAATCGTGGCTTATCTGGGTATCGCCCTCTCTGCGTTCGTCTACGTGCCTTTCGGCGAAGAAGTCATGGCAGCCATCCAGTACTACCTGTTCTACGGCGACACGCCTCTTCGCGTCACGGCACGAACGTGGCTTTCCTCCGTCTTTTCGGCCCTGCCGGCCAATGTTACCGCGCCATTCAATGCGACAGCCGGGGTTGAGGGCGCCAAAAATGGTTCTGCACGCGCGTTCTGGGACAAGGATAGTGGTAGCGCCCGGAGCAAGCTCAGCTCGACACGCCTGCAGGACCAAATGTTCGCGTTTACAGTGACGAACCAGGTCATCAACACGTTCATGGAGATCGGTTTGCCGTTCGTGTTGCGCGCAGTGGCCTCGGTGCGGAGTGGCAAGGGCCTTTCCCTCGCGGCACCCGCCGCGGGAGCCAATGGTGGCAACGGGAACGGTAAGAAGAAGCGCGTCATGTTCGAGGACCAGACGGCGGAGGCTGAGGCGGAGCGTCTGGCGCAACTGGAAGAAGAACGCGAGTTCCTCGATAGGATCAACAGAGAAGTCGCGCTCCCGGACTACGACCTGTTCGCGGACTACAGCGAGATGATCACCCAGTTCGGCTACGTCGCGCTGTGGTCTACGATCTGGCCACTCGCGCCCGGTAAGTCCAACCATCGCTGAGCAAATGTAAGTCCGCTCACGCATGATTGTCAGTCATGTCGCTGGTGAACAACTGGCTGGAGCTGCGGTCAGACGCGTTCAAGATCACCGTGCACGTCCGACGACCGATCCCCACTCGGACGGACACCATTGGGCCGTGGCTCGACACGCTGACGTTCTTGACGTGGCTCGGGGCGTTGACGAACTCTGCGCTCGTCTATCTCTTCCGGCCGCGGGACCACTGCAAGCCGCTGGGGACGTCGCTCTCGCACGCGCACCACCACCTGAGCAGCCCGACGGCGCCGGCGCAGGAGTACCTGACGTCGGCGCTGCTGATCGCGCTCGGGGCGTCGCACGGGTACATGCTCCTGCGGATGGTGGTGCGGCACACGCTCGAGCGGCTGCTCTGGCGGGGGAGCAAGGAGGAGCGCGAGGCGGAGCGGACGGAGACGGTCGTGAAGGAGCAGTATCTTCGGAGCCTCGGCGTCGCGGACGTGGTTAATGCGGACGACGGCGCGGCGGACGCGGGCGCGGAGGGCGGCCAGGCGGGTGATTTGTCGGCGTTTTGGAGCCACGACGAGGGCCTGGACGAGCTGACGCGGGGGACGAAGGAGGCGTAAGTGCTGGCTCGAGGATCCGAAGCGTGCTGCGTGCTGCCGTTCTTTGACGTGTGCGCGGGTGAAGGGAGGGCACCGTGGGCGTCGGGCGAGGAGGGCGGTGGACGACCGGTGGTCCCGGTCTATGAGCTGGACCCAACGCCGTGGGTTTTACGTTAGGACGGTGATGGGGTGCGGTCGGGGAGTGTGGTTCGGTACGCTGTTGCTCTCCGCACGATGTACTACTGTACGAACAATTCGACGAGTGTAGTTGGCGATGTGGGCGTACATATGTACCGCTCTGCCCTGCGAGCGTCGGGGCAGGGGCGGATCATGACGTCGGGAGATACGAGCAAAGGGGCGGGCCGGGGGCCGGGGGCGGGGGATATATTATTGACTAGGCACGGGCGCCGGGAAAACACTTGCGACTTTCGGTTGTCCTCCACCGACGACGAGACGAGACGACGACGCCAGCACGCGCCCGGTCGCCCACATTCCTTTAGGCTTTGCACATTCGTTCGCCCTCCCGACGCTCTTTTCCCCGACCACCACCGCTCCTTGCTCGCTGCCCCCCGTGCCGCCGTCGCCGCGCGTCGCCTCCGGCCTCCCCGCTTGCCTCCTGCCTGCCTCACTGTCGCGCTGTGAGACAAAACCCATCACCCCAACGCGCTCGCAAACCGGATTGCCATACCTACCTACACGTGCTGATTTTTCACGACACCATACACGCCTCGCTGCATTCCGTTCCCCGCTCGAGGCCTCGGTGAGACGTCCCAGTTCATTCTGTTGTAATTATGTACGCGAGACCGCCTCCGCCTCAGCCACGTCCGTTCGCCCGTCTCACTCTCCTTCCAGGCTTCACTAGCCGTGCAGGATTGTCTCGACGACCTCCCCCTTGCTTGTGACGTTTTGCTCTGTACCTGAACGTGAGTCCCAATGCTCTGACGGCCGGCGCCGCCACGACCGCGAGACATACTGACACCCCTGCTCACTTGCCCCGTTCTGGACCTGTAGCATGTCGACCCAGTACGACTTTCCGCGAACCACGAACCACCCGCGCACGATGGACCACGCTCACCTGAAACTGGGCAGCGCCAGCAACCACAGCTCTCGTCACCCCTCGCACTCGAGCAAGGCGAGCTCGCGTCGCGTGCCCGTCCCGTCTGCCTCGATGCCAACGACTTCGTGGCTCTCTGACGTAGGAGAGTTCACCACCTCTCCCCTCTCGCCGCAGGACTACCTCAGCGTCTCCATCCCGTCCACCGGCTCGTTCCTCACCTCTGGTTCGATGTCGGACTCTGGGTCGCCTTCGCGTTTGTCTCCCCGCGCCCGGTCGCGAGACTTCATTTCACCCACGAGCGTGTCTCCCCAGCAAGCGTCAAGCTCTGGCTCCTTATCCCGCCACAGCCCCATACCACCGGCGCGTACCCTCCACACCTCTCGCTCCTTTTCCTCCACCAGCCCGTTGAAGACGTCCGCCTTCAGCGATCGCGACGCAAGCGGGCACCTCGACTTCAAACGGCTCATGAGCAAGCCGGCTAAGCAGAGTGCCTCTGCCTCCTCGATGGTTTCACTTCCTTCCGACTCTGAACGCTCGGTCTCGGCATCGTCCAGTCGCTTCCCGGCATCCCGCCGGCCTAGCGAACCGTTTATCCGCTCACCCCCACTGAAAAGTAACACGACCAGTCCCTCGCGGGAGAAGGCCCCGCTGCAGGTCAAAACGTATGGACTGCCCTCCTCGCCGCGAGTAGCCCAAGGTCCGTCGCCGGAGCGCAGACCCGGGACAAGCGACGGACAGCCTTCGAGTTCCAGTTCCAAGCCGACCTCACGCAACAACGTGCTTCGGCGACGACCAAGCGCTCATTCAAATCCTAACACGCCCACTGCGGGCCACTTCCAACTCCCCACCGACGAGAGCTATCCGCCTCCCAGAACCACTCCCTCCAAACCGACTTCTCGCCCTGAACGTCACACTGCTTCTTTCTCGTCTCGTCCTACGACGTCTCCTGCTTCTAACCGTGCTGCTACGCTCCCTCGCAAGATGTCCCTCTCGGCTACCTCAAAGAGCCAGCACGTTCCCGGCGGTCTCACACCTGCTGGTGCTGTCGCGC